AGCAAAACATACAGGAAGCAAGAAATGGAAAATTATTTGTTGACAATATCATGTATGTTGATGTGCATGATTGAGCAAATATACAGTGTACTGTGGATGGAAAAATCTCATTTTGTATGCTGTAATGATGTACAGTGAATGAACGTAAACAAATAAATTTAAATAAAAAAAGAAAAGCAGTTTTAATTTTAATAAATCAAAGAAATGCTAAAAAACATTGCTTAAAACTTAAAGCCAGGAAACAGGTTAGGATTCTGTTCAAATAGTAGGGACATGAACCTACCAACAACTCAAGATAGAACAAAGATCTTTAAAACCAGACAACAAAGCCTAGATGGAAATCAGCAATATTTTAGTCAGAAGTCATAAAATACAATTTCACTAGATCAGTCTCATGTACTTAATCTGTTTTCTGTTGTGGTTTGGGGACTTGAACTACAGTCAACCATGTGGGAGTTTGGTACCTTAATGATTATACTACATGCTGGCCCATATAACTTTTCAACTATGCTAAAAACTTTTTTGAACTCTTATTTCTGTGTGTCTGTATTTAATTTTCCTGGTATAGCACTCCCTTGAGAACCTCTTGGAGATCTGGTCTGGTGCTGGTAAATTCTTTCAGGTTTTATTTATCTGAGAATGTTCTGGTCTTTTCTTTATATATGAAGGATAATCTTGCTGGGTACAGTATTCTTGACTGAAATTTTCCCTTAACACTTTGAAAATATTTTCCCATACTTTTTTCGCTTGCATTGTTTCTGATGAGAGGTCTGAACAGCTAACCCCCATTTTACTCAAATTATTTATTTTTTATAACAAAAACCCTATATATTTGCAGTTACCCATCTTTTCACAATAAACATGAATGTTATTAACAATCAGAAAAAAATCTAATTAAAAAACCTGATTTTTTTTTGCCTTTTTCCCCCATCCTTGATTCCCTATCTCTTACCCCCTGCCATCTCCCACTCTCCTCCCACACTGTCTCTGGTATCTATGTTTGCTTTCTATACCGTTTTCCCCCCACATTTTATTGAATCACCAAAGACCCTAATCAATCCAAATACCCTCATAGCAAAC